CATATATATTTCTGGTTGCTACTACCTTCCAAGTCTCAGGATTCCAGCATATTTTTGTCAGTGTTGGGCATTTTACACATCTCAGATAGCATAACAGTAACTGGACAACCCCTTTGTAGTAATTTTGGTGCACCAGACTATTTTGGTTATGCCGGATTGTTATGGCAGTATCCCCACACAATTCCGTCTTGGCAGTTTAGGAATATACACACAGATACACTGAGTTTTCATTGCTTCCTTAACTTGGAGCATGCGTTTAGACTTTAGACCATGCAGTTCAATGTAATATTTCAGTAATATTTGCATTTCAGGTTCATTTATGCTTCCTCACCTTCCTTAGATTTTGAAAGAACTGGTACTTGGTTTACTGGCTGTTCACCATCCGGTGCCATGATAAGTAGCTGATGGGACCAGCATTAAAATAAAAAAACTGTTGGGTTTGTCCCCCATGGGCAAAGCACAGGTTCACTTTAACATGTGTCCCAACTTACAGTGTTGTGATGCATAAAATCGTCAAATGATGGAGGTAATCTGTTTTATAGGCATTATTCCTTTTTGGAAAACAGCCAACAAATGTATAAGGCTATTGTGCCTAACCTGTGAATCTTTGGCACTTATTGTGTGGCCCTAGTCTGTGTTTAGCTTATCTAGGAGCTTATTTAAGCCAGTGAAGGAAATATTCTTCAGATTGCACTCTGCTAGTTAAATGTATCTTTTACACAATAAAACATTCCTTTGTGCTGTTCATTCCTTTTCTTTTTTTGTTTTTTTTTTCCCTCTGATCTTTTGTAATGCATCTTGCTGTAGCAAATAATTTTTAAGGTGACTGTAGGAAACACTGATTTTTTTAATAGCAATGATCGTGTAACATGTCTCCAGTCTATAATTATCTTCTGATGCACATGCCAAGTCTCCAACTACTCCTATAGCATGTTTACAGTCTCCGGCCATCTCTTGTAGCATGCAGGTAGTCTTTTTACATCTCCTGTCGCATGTCTGCAGTCTATGACAGTTTTTCTGTGGCATTCATTTATTGTGGCCACTGGTATAAGGAATGTATGGAATCTTTGGGAGCTTTTTGATTATTGAATATGAAGTCAAGCAGGATGTTACTCCATAACACTTCTAGAGGGGGAAAGAAAAAAAAAAAGCTCTGACGTATGCTGTTTATCCTGCCCTAGTAGCCTCAATGCTCAGCATAGTCAGATTTGTCTGATGAAAGAACGCCAAGCAGACAGATGTAATTCAGGGGCAGACGATAAGTTAATTTTTTTTTTCCTGTATGTAGAACTATTTTGTTATACAAGGCTGTTAGGACGTCTTACACAGAGGAATGCAAACTCATTTTGCTATAATTAGGGATCATGAGGATGTAAAATGCAGTTCAGCAGATTCTGATTGGCTGCATTAAAGTAGTAAATTGATGAAAAATGTTTGTCTCTATCTGATCACACAGATTCAAGCTGCTGATCCTCAGGTTTAGGCATTAAAGTAATGGTGCAAGGTTGTACATTGTTTTTGCATTAAAGTAGTGTAGGTGACAGTTCAGAGGGTGTGTTTGACCTGACTCAGATGCAGCATGTCCTAGTTGAGTTTAAAATGCAGGGAAAGCAGGTCAAAAGCAGCCTTTTGCTTTCAGGCGCATGATTTTTGAGCAGCGCTGCATTCAAATGAAAAAGGCTGCATTTGACAAGAACACCCATCTACATGTGTTCTTGTCAGATTAAAAAAACAAAAAACTTTTTAACAGCTACACAAATAACTATGTGCATAGCATTTTCTTGTATTGTATAATACTATATAAAAAACACAAATGCATTGATTGAAACATTTTAAGTGCATGTTGATCAGGAAAGGTATTATATGCATACAGTACATTTCAGCTTTACGTTAATCAAACATCAAATGGCGGTCAGGTGTTGCAGAGTGCACCAATAAAGGTCTTTCCTTTAACATTAGATTTGGATAAGTCATTACTGCACTGCTCTTGCTGGAGAGGAATCTGTACCTGAGAACCTTCAATGCAAGGATCTCCTAGCTTTATTCATTTTGGGGATCTGGGCTTCCCTCAACTCTCCTGATGCTCCTTGAATATTTCTCCACCAGTCATGAGATCATTAATCATTAGGGATAGCTCTGTCATGACCAAATAAAGCCTTGCCTCAACCAAGATGATAGCTTGTACACAAGGCAGTATGAAAAAGATATGGCAATCCAGCAATAGGTAAAGTGTCAGGTGCCTCTAGGCCATACTGGTAAATATGTATTAGTCCTCTGCTTGCATTTTCTTGGGCACAGCTTCCACAGATCAGGCCCTTTTAAGAAAAAACAAATCTTTGACTTTGGTTTTTTGGGGGTGTGATGATGCTTACCCATGACAACTTTAGAGCATACGAATATATAAGACCATATTTGTGAATTTGTATACGGCATAGTTTGATAACAGAAGCCTTACCCTCGTTTTAGTCACAGATTTGAACTTCATTATCACTTAATATATCATTTATTTTTTTACACCTTAATGATTTAGTGGGTCAAATATCCATTATAAGCAACCCAGTGAGACGGTGTCCTTTCATTGAGATGCATGTGATCTTTAGCATTTGCACCCCATTTAGTATATGCAGAGTCTTTTACCAATCTATTAACATATGTAAATCTGCACAAATTAAAAGTACTCCTTCAAAGAATATACAACAGAACCTGGAATGGCTCCAGAAATAGCAGTTCCAGAGAAACAGCACTGAAAAGTTTTCAGACAATTATCAATATATGCAAGCTAAAGTGCAGCTCTCACTCATGTACAATTACAATTTCGATACAGAGCAGGGAAGTATGCCTACGGGGCACAGAACCTGAAACTGTATTATTTCAAAAGCTTACAAGCACACTTGTCAATCCCACACTAGCTGGACAATGGAAAAGTAAATTATTTACAACAACCAAACACATGCCACCAGTTTTAAGTCAACAAAACTATTACAAATTCTAAGATAGTGATGGAGCTCTTACCAAGCATAATGCCAAACATAGCAAAGTGCATATTTTACAAGAGATTGGCATCTGTTGACATTTACAGTTCTTTCTGAACAACTTGTACACTGATTTATGGAAAATTTAGGTAAGCAGCAATCTAAGTGTACAATACTGTCTATTTCTCAGTATAAAAATAGCGTTAAGGTCTGTTTTTCTTTTGCCGAGTTATCAATACAACTAGAGGGGTAGAACACAATAGCCTTTAAATAAACAAAGTATTACGGCTTATGAGCAGACATTTAAGGTCAAATGAAGATGAACAGAAATTGTCAGGATGTAATAAGAGTTATTTACCTGTCAGCTGACACTGACTGATTTTATGTTCAGTGATATCACTCAGTGACTCAAACACCTGAAGGCAACTGTCACAGCTGTGAGCGGCTTCCTCCTCTAGTTCGTCCCCCTCCTCCTGCCTTTTCTTGCAATCTGGCGCTTCACCATCTTCAGACTGATCGTCTAGTTTACAGCTGGGGTCTGGAAAACAAGACAGGACCTCTGTGAACAGTGCAAATTGGTTCTGTAGAGCAAGTGGTTTGCAGACATAAAACTGACAAAACGTAAGACATAAATTATATCATTAAACAACCAGTATGGGAACCAAAAGCGGGCACATTTGTGCACAACTATAGTGATTCTTTAGACGCAAATCTAAACCCAAGCACTAAAATCTCAAAAAAGGTGGTTCAAGCTAAACTCCAGGTGGTAATAAAAGACAAATGAATGCAGCTCTGCATTAATAAATAAAAAAAATGCATTTTAATGATGTAAGTGGACCTCCTTTGACTAAAATCAAATCAGCATACAGCTCTGCATGCGGATATGAAATCATCTTACATTTATTAGCTAAACAAACATTTTTAAATTTTCCACTTCCTGATGCACTTTTGCACAAATGATGCAATAGTGCCCAAGCATTGTATCCTGGGAAGGTTACATTAGCATAGCATTGCTGGGAAATCTCATATGCATTTTCATGAGATCCTAGGGAAAGGTATTTTCCTCCCCTAGGATGAGGTGCATGGTCACATGTGCCAGAGTTCCAGGAAGTAAAGGCAGATCTAGTAACCTGCCCCTAGTTAAAATGGCTTCGGTCAGAAGCCTGGGGAAGAAAAGAAAAATAAGGTATGGAAAAAAAGAAAAAGCCTGCAATTATCTAGAAGTATCTGTTTGTAGATTGTAATTACTAAACATTTCTAAATTATTAGTATCTAAATTTGACTCGGCATTGGCCTCTTGGAATCCTCTCCACAGCAGGATTCAGGTAGGGAGAAGCCGCAGAAGGAGCCAATCAGTTTTTTTACAATGCTTTTGTGCAAACAATGGACATGCCAATAGGAGGCATCAGAGCGATGAGCACATCAGTCTGCTGCTTTTGCTTTCATTGTCCAGTCACTGTATGGGGAAGGAACAAGACTTCTAAGGCCCCCTTTCCCATGGCCGTTCCTATCAGATCCACCCGTCATTTTTTTCAGAAGGACATAAATCGGAACGTTACTATAATTTCTATAGCACTTTTAAATTTTTTAAACCTGCAGTATTAATTTAAAGAAAACATGGTGATCCTGTCATTACGGTCCTTTCTCAGGCACTTCTAGGTATGGAGTGGCAACGGTCTCACAACTGTGCTCCTTCGTTGTCACCTTCTCATGCTCTCTTGGTTGAGACTACAAGCGGCCATGTCAACACACCTTATGCAGACATGGTCACGCCATTGTTACTATCAGAAAGCTAATCAATGGCAACGATGTACAGCCGATATGGAAGTGAGTGCATGTAGACAGGAAGTGGTAGAAAGTATGAAAGTTTAGCAGAATGAAAGAACTGTGGGCAAGTGGGGCTCATTTTGTCTAGGGTGCTAAAATAACATTATACTCACCCGAACCACAATCCTGGCTGGCTCTCGGACTTGTCCCCTTCAGCCCCCCAGCGCTCTAAGGACCAGTTAGTCATCACGTCCTATACAGTGTATAGGATGCGAGGACACCGAAGGACATTCCATCGCTGAAACGGAGGAGACAGGCTTAAGTGACTGGTCTAGGAGCCAACTGGTATTGTGGTTTGTGTAAGTATATGTAATTTTAGCTCCCTAAGCAAAATGGGCACTTAGTCCCTGCAGTGCAGTGGTAGCCCCACTGCAGGGGTTAAGATTTATATACATATATACACACACATACACACATTATTACATAAATGAAAATATAAAATGTGTAAAAATCTATGTAAAAATAAATGAGTGTGTATATGTATGTGTGTTATTATATAGATATCTATCTATCTATCTATCTATCTACACACACATACATATACACACATTTATTATTACATATATTATTACACATTTTATATTTTCATTCAATACTGCTTTTTACTTTTTTTTGCATCTTAAAAATGAAAGTTGGGCAAATAAAATCTTAACCCCTGCAGTGGGCCTAAGTGCTCGTTTTGCCTAGGGAGCTAAAATAACATACTCACCCAAACCATGTATATCATTTGTTTATGACACAGAGAGGGGGGATTTATCAAAACTGGTTTAGAGAAAATATGGAGCAGCTGTTCACAGCAACCGATCAGCTTCTCTTTCTATCATTTTCAAATCCTAACTTAAAAAACTGATGAGGGAAGCGGATTGGTTTCAATGCACATCTACTCCAGATTCTGCCTGCTCCAGTTTTGATGAATTCCACCCACAATGCTTTAGAAAATGATGCTTCATCCAGTTAGGGTTCAGAGTTACTTTACACATTAATAGGTACTCCACTAGGGAAGTCATAGTAGATCACAGATTGAACAATAGTATGCAATGCCAGGCTGCGCGCAAACAAAACTAGCAGAGTACTGTATTGTAATAATTTTGCCACTTTATAGATCACTGGTTCGGCCACATCTTGAGTATATGGAAGTGAGGCGATTACGAGGGGACATGATTTTAATCTACCAAAAGGTCTAGTGGAGATGGCAACATCAGCACTGAACTTTTTACTGTAATCTCCCTAACAAAGACTAGCGACCACCACCTAAAATTGGTGGAGAAAAGATGTATCCACAAAGGGCGTAGGGGCTTCTTTTCAGTCAGAGTGGTTACATTTTGGAATTCTCTGCCACAAGCAGTGGTATCTGCAGAGAATATTAATTAAAAAATCAATTAGATACCTTCATAAAAGAGACTAACATACAGGGGTACAGGTACTGTTAAAAACTAAGACCACACAGGGACTCATATACACACATGAACGCATTACACACAAAGGTTGAACTTGATGGACCTGTGTCTTTATTCAACCTGAAATACTATGTGACTTTAAAGCTAAAATAAATTGGTTGCAGCATCCTGTGGAGTCCAAACAAATAACATATTAAAATCAGCATAAATGGCAGTGAAAATCACAAATAAACAGAAAAGCTAACCTGCACTTTATATATGGAGTGCAGCTTATTTAGCAGAGATTCCCCCCTGAAATGTTTAACACCACCAAAAACGAATCTGTTTTTTATGAATAGGATTTGATATTTAACCCCTTCATGACCACAGCTCTTTCCCCTCTCTTACAGGAGATTTGTTGGTCATCTCTACTCTAACATATTGTGCATCTCTTTAAGGGGAACATACAGAGATTTAAATTTTGAAGCAAAATTCAAATACATTTTCTGTTTTAAAACAAGAGGAAAGCCTAAAAAGAAAAAAAATTCGAATAATTGTTTTCAGAGATACTTTTAGTTAGCAGAGCCCCATATTTATACTGCAAAATTTAGCTGTCAAAAGATATCACAAGTGTGATTTTTATGTGCTATAGCATAGTAAAACCCAAAATCAAAGTTCCTTTACCTTTTAATGCTACATTGTGTAGAAAAAAAAGTATCTGTTTTCCAAAATTGTTTTCCAAAATTGTTTGCATAGCACTGTGGATTGGTGCAACAGAAATCGTAAAAAAAATTAAATAAAAAACTGCATGTGCTTGTGTAATTTATGCTTGCTCCAGCACAATTGTCTTGCAGAGCACTCAATGTGATAGTAGAGATCTGGGGATTAAGTAGTTTTTTTATTTATATAATTTTGTGTTGCTTCCCCCCCCCCACCCCCCTTTTAATGGGACGGTTGTATCAAGTTCAGAGGGGCCTGCCATTCTACCCTCTGTAGCAATGGATTTCTTAAGCTAGCCATGCACCTAAAGATTTTTTCTTACTCAGCCTGCTAAACAGCTTGGTTGGACTAATCTCCAGTGTCGAGCTATTGTAGTCTGATATATTTTGCACCTGCAACTGACTGGCTGCAGTCACTGTTCAGACTTTTTTTTTTGACTGGCTCCTTCATCTTTTAAATCAAAGTTTGTTGAGCTGGGTGGTGTTGGCAGGGCCACTTATGGCTCACAATACGGTCATCTCACAGGTATACAATTTGTTCCATGGCTGATGTAGGAAATGTAGGACAGTGATCAAATCAGCCCTGCTCCAAGATGGCCACTGGAGCTCAGAGGTAATGTCCTCAATTTTTATAACATTGTTGTACAGGAGTAGTTTATAACTGATAAGAAACCCAGGAGGTGACTAGTGGGGCATTAGTCGGTTGAGTGCTGGAGCCAAAAGCTGGCATTTCCAGCATTGCTGGCTCCAAGGACCCATCTCAGTAGCCCACAGCCACCACCATTTTTAAAACAGCACTATTATGGCAGGGAAAAACTGAAGTTGTAAAACTACCTCTGGGAAGCATAAAAATGGTGTAGCTTATTTCATCAGAGGCCTTTGCTTTCAGTAGTCTAGAATTGGCCCCTCTAGCCATGCAGCTCAATGATGAACATAAAGAGACTTTGTTATGAATCTCTGTACTATGAATTTTTAGGAACTTTATACAAGTTTGTGTGACGAGACACACAGAAACAGAGCAAAGTGTGTGTGCAGAGTGTGTGTGTGTGTGTGTGTGTGTGTGTGTATGTGTAAAATACACAAGATTAAAAAAAAAAAAAAAAAGGCACAGTGCTGAACCTGAAAAGTTATAATGGAAATGTGTAAAACCATGTTGCCAACTTCAAAACTTCAAGCCTTACTCCATTTATAAAATGGAGAACAAAACACAATCTTTTAAAACAGCAAGAGACTAAAACTGAATTAAATAAAAAGCAAACAAAATAGTATTTTTACATCTTAAAATTAGGCAGTTCATCATTTTTCAAACGGATTGGGAAAAATTACCAAAGTCGACAATGGTGCAGAACAAATTGTGTCCTAGCTTTAACTATTAGCCAAGTAGAAAACATTTGAAATGTTTTGATAAATAAGTCTGAACCACTCGTTTTTCTTTGTTTCCGTTGTCAATACAAATAAAGATTTTTTGGCAATTACTGATAAGTACAAATGAGTCAAGGTTGTATTAAACCTATAGCAGAAGAAGAGAAAAGCCAATGTGATTGATTCTCAGAAGGTCACTTTCTCCTGCTTCAACCTATTCTTTTCTCCCTTCTAAAAAGTCAATGCCCCAAATA